TCATGCCCCCCCCCCTTTTCTCATGCCCCCCCCCCTTTTCTCATGGGACCCCCTGTTCTAAAGAGCCCAATTATCTTGGTTTCTATAATATGAAAGATACCAAAAATCAATCAACTGATAAAATATTAGTGGTACTATGACAAACATTTTATCAGTATACAGATTTTTGTCATCTCTTATAGAAATCGAGTTAATCGAGCTTAAAGTGCACGTGGGATTCCATTAGAGCAAATACGGTAATTAATCCAATGAAATATAATTCCTATTCAAACTTGATCTAACTACTCAAGATAATATCAAAACAATAATATTACCGTATGACATAATAATTGTCTACAGGGAACCGACGTGGCAGATGGTACATGTCACATCGAGAATGTATAAAGATGCCGACTAATAACAATCTCTTGTTCTAATACCTACAGTAGCCATAATTGGTTACCGTAATCATAACTTATGACCGTAATCCTAAGGGAACGCCCTAATTACAGTAATCTTAATTACTATCAGACCAAGTGATGAATCAAGCAAGGTAATAAACTATTGGTTTCCACCCGTCCCTATTTATACTTACCTGAAATTGGCGGGAAGTCGTGAAGTGAGAACGCTCTTTGGTGTTGTTGAGAATCCATTGATGGATTCGACAAGTAGAGACCATTCAGTTCCCGCGCCATCACTGTCGTTTGACGTATTTCCGGGAACGAATTCACTGGAATTCGTGCGGAGAGATACACTGTAAATTTTAGAGACTGAGGTTGAGGACGTGTGTTGAAAAAAATGTTGAAAAAAAGAGGTTGAGGTAGTTAGACATAATTTGGAATGGGGTTGGGTTGGGTTTCAAATACTTTAATGAGGAATTTTTTTGAAAAGGAAACCAGTTCGAAGAAAGATGAACATCAGTAAAAATACTGAATGGGCTGTCGACAGAACGAGTGACACGATAGTTATGTTATGGTACCAATTGAGTTTGCTGGTCACCTGCAGAAGGGGGCGGGGCTGAAAAAAGGCGGGAAGGGACCATAACTGAATAGACGGATCTCTGCGAAAGCAACGTAGGGTACAGACAGTAGGTCGAGAGCGAATGACCTAATTATACTCTGGAGGAAGAGGTCCTACACAAATACAAAGAACAAGGCGGATTTGTGGTGGGGAGAGACGGGAAAAAGAAATGAGACACAGGCAGGCCACCCCGTGTGTAAAACGGAATACGAGAGGAAAGGGAACGGTCCAGTTTCTCTCTCTCTCTCTCTCCCAGTACTCATAGTTGTCGTTTGGTTGACCCCACGCGGCCCCGAATGTTTAAGAGGGCGAGCCAAAAACCGGCGGTCGCTCTATCTCTCTTTTCTCTACTCATCAAAAGTAATAAAGGAAGGCGGAGCAAGAATGCCGGTCGGGATAGTGGGACCAAAAAAAACTACAAGGTAGACAATGTAATTGACTTCCTCAATTACTTGATTTGATAGCTTCTGAATAGAGGGGTGCTACTAGAGAATTTATGGGGTATAATATTCACACGGATATGACGATTTGTCTGGGCAAGCTTTTTGGATTTTTTCCTTCAGATAGGGATATTTAGTGAACATTACATCACCATTTAAGCAAAATCGTGGAAACCGGAAAATTCGGAAAATGGGGGTTTCAAAGTCGCAGAAGAAGTATTTGAAATCTTTGATTTTGCGAATGCGAAACGATATATACAGTACCGGTCAGCGAAATATACAAAAACGCTATTTTCAGTTGTTTTTCAGTTTTTCCAAAAGTCCGGAGCTCGGATGTCACGTTTCGCGGCGTTTTGAAAATTTTGGAAAATGTAACACAGACCTAGATTGGAAACTTTGCGGTCGTAGAATTTTTCGAGAATTTCTAGTTTTCCATCTTAATTGATCTCTGAAAGACACATGTTTTCTTGTTTTCAGCATCAAAGCAGGCAAAAAAGGGTGTTGATCGGAAATGGGCAGATGGCTCAAAACTAGGAATTCTCATAAAATTCCATGGATGCAAATTTTCAAATCTAGGTCTGTTTCAGAGCGTTCAAAGTTTTCAAAGTTATCAGATACTAGACAGCCGAGCCCCACGCTTCTGGAAATGGTCAAAACGGCCAAAATCAATTGGAAAATACATATTTCTATACTGAATACCGTACTGTATTTGCACGCTTCATATGCCGGTACCGTAGTTGTGCGAAAAATTTTTAATTTCGAAAGTTTTGAAATTTTCAAAAATATTAAAATTTTTTCAAATGCTTTGGATATTGATTTGATAGCTTAATTCACAGCAGACCCAGATTTTTAAGAAGTAGTGTTGACGTCTTCCGTTTGCCGTTTGCAATACTACAGTTCCTTCCCATTCAACAACCCTAGGTGACCAATTCCATTTGCATAGCTACACAAATCATCTCACATCACCACTCTTGAGAAAAAACAGCGGACCCTTTCTTTCACAGAAACAGCAGGCGGTCAGCACTCTTTCCCAACCAAACAGTGCGCCGGGCGGTCAACAGAACAACTGCTGCGTTGTCATCTGATGAAGAGGTTCCGTTGTGTGTGCCTGTCTGTGTGTGGCATTAAGACTGCCCAGTGCAAAGATGCAGAATGAAGAATTAGAAAGGTTCAAGGATACGGTGTGCTGACGTCATCTTGACAAAGATGGTATCCATCATCTGTCAAGATAAGGATTAGGGTGGGATGTGTCTGTGGGTTAATCGATGATGGATGAGAAATGTCTCTATAGGTCATTAAAAATGTTATTTTAGCAGAAAAAAGAATGATCATTATTTTGGGAAATTTTTGAATTCAAAAATTTGCTAGAGCAGTTCAATGGGTTTTAGAAGAAGATTGCTCAAGTATTTGTCTACAGACTAGCTGTCCGTATTTTCTCAAGGTAGTGTTATTTGTCAGAAACAGGAGGTCACACCTCATTATTTGACGTTATTATTCAGAAATGTGGCATCTTAGCACCTTATTTTTGAAGTAATACAATAGTAATAATTGTCATATGAGTGAGTTCAAAAAAATAAAGTTTACAGGTCAGATCTTTGTAACTTGGAATCTTGGGATTTTGGAATCTAGGGAAACTGGGATTTGGGGATACTGGTATCTTGGAATACTGAGATCTTGGGATTTTGGGATCCCAGAGCTCGGAATATAAGGATCTTAGGATTTGAGGACATTAGTATCTTATGATCGAATCTTAGGAAATTGAGAATTTGGGTTTTTTTTCCGAAAAACACCCCTCGCTCCGTGGCTAAGCCCTTGATTTTGGTTTTATAAGTATGCAAAACACGTGTTAGCACACTAAAGTGCAGATAGTTAAATCGTACCAAATCTTTGGAGACTAACTCATCTATAAATGAAGATAGTGTGGCTCTGAATATTAGCGAAACGCATAATTGAAAACTCAAAGTTTCAATACCTTAACAAAAAATTTAAGACTGACACCTCGTTTAAAAAAATGCCGGCCTTGTGAGGGCCATTTTCTGAGCCTCATACATACCGTAAAATCTGTATTAGAAGGGCCCCTCTGATAGAAGGGCCCTCCGAGAGGGATTTGGAAAAATAGAAGGGCCCCCTGTAATAGAAGGGCACCCGTGATAGAAGGGCCCTCTGTGAAAAAGGACCCCTTTCAAATTTGTTTTGAAATCAGAAAATTTCCGAACTTTTTCAGTGTAAAATATTCCGAGAGCTCTACAATTTAATAAAAATTTGTTGAAACTCTGTTTTTCGATTAAAATCTTGCTAAATTTCGAAGAAATGAGCAGATTTTCATGAATTTTGAACGAAACTTCGTCGAATTTTTCGATACTAAATTTTGGAAAAAACTGGCCGGAAGAATAGAAGGGCCCCCTCTAATTGAAGAGCACCTGTAATAGAAGGGCCCTCCGGAGGTACCTTGGAACAATAGAAGAGCCGGCCCTTCTTATTCAGGTTTTACGGTATATGTTTTTGTTTTAAATTTTTGATTGAATCAATTTACAGTAGAGAATCAACAAATAAACAAAATGACATTGAGTATAAATAAAATAGGAAAATTTTGCATTTGAAAGTTCAAAAAAACCATGTATTCCGCCGCAAAAATAGTATTGGAAAGTTTCAAAAATACGGTTCACCTTGAAAAGTTTAGGCCGGATCGATACGCTGGCAAACAAATTATCATCACTTCTATCTTCATCGCATCACGACGGGTAATCGGATATTTACTCTCGGCAGAATAAAAGATGAATAGCGGTGTGCTAATAGAATCTAGACATTTCAGTTTCCCATTGTTTTCGATTTCTGGAAGTTTGTGATCAGTTTTGGATTTTTGACAAACTTTCTTTTCGATGTATTGTTGTAATTTTTGCTGTTTTTGAGTGCATGATGAAACACGCCTAACAATTTCTCTGTTATCTTTTTTTCGGTAGTCTCGATAAGGTTTTGGTTTGGTTTTTCTGCAATACGCGATATCAAAAAAGAAACAATTGCCGACGACTTCGACGAAGCCCGATACGTTATCTCTTCATCTCGTCGTCTGCCCAAGAACACGGCGAGATAGATGAACATAGAGAGATTGTAGATAGGATAGTGCGCGAAACTGTTGGAAAGATGACTTGTAAGAATAAAAAGTTTCTAGGTTGGTAGGGAACAAATATATAATTTCCGAGTGTAAAAATTTGTCGATGCAGGTAAGGTGATACGGTAAGAACCTGATGTGAGCAGATGATTTGAAAAGTTGATGTTTTTCTTTCGAGAACACAAAACAAAGAAACAGTTAGAAAAGAACGAAATATGTCATGTGTCATCTTCTTCCAAAACCAAAGTGTATCCAATTACACATACCAAATCATTCAGGAATGGTTTTCACTAATTTCGTTAGAAGAACATCAACAATGCGGCAGTGAATCCTTTTATTTGTCAACAAAGCACGCTACTTATCCTACTACCCAGATTCGGTGGTGGGAAAGAAACGCTAATACAGAAAAAGTGTTGGGGTATAATCTTACTCCAATGTTTTGCAAATTAGATGAATCCAATATTTTTTTGAAAAATTTTCGTGATGCTTTGTACAAAAAATAGGATGCTTTGTACAAAAAAATATGTACCGTAAACATACAATAGGCTGACCCTGCTAACTTTCAAATTTGAGTTTTTTTATCTTGATCCCTGCAAGAGATACCTGAATAAAGTTGACTAATGAAATATTTTTGATATTGCTTTAACATTTTGTTCGTTGGCCACTTTTTGATATCTCTTATAGAAATCGAGATTTATGAGTTTATCATTCAACAGAAAAACCGCTCTAATCATAAATAAATCGAGTAACGCGTTTTTCCCCCCAGAAAAAGGTTTCCCAAAGGGCAAGATCAAATTGGCTTGAAAATGTTTGGCTCTGTAGGTCTAAATCACTCCGGATGACAATTCAATTGAAGGAGGCTTTTCCATTTTTTCGGGCGGGGCTTCTAAAAATATCATTACAAAAACTATGAATTCTCCTTCTGAATTCATAAAAACTTTTTTTAATTTTTACTAAAAGCGAGCGTTTTCAAGAAAAATAGAGCGCTCCAACAAATTTTAGTAAAATTGAGGCGTTTTTAGAATAATTTTACCGTACAAACAATTTAGATTTCAAACAACACAGTTAGCTTTGAGGAAACCTCTCTATTACAGAAAAAACTTATATTTTCCAAGTCACTCTCATAGAAGCTCTTTTATTTGAGGGGCTTTTCGACGAATGGTCCCTTCTCACACATTCTACGGTACCTGCATCTTCATCGGAAAAATAACCGTTCGAAACCTTCCTTTCAACATTCGATTACTTTTGACGTTTTTGAATAATTGCGATTGTTCCCATGACATCTTTTTATCGAAATTTGTATTTTCGATAACTCTCACTTCCTATTTTTTCAAGCGTTAGGACACAAGTAATGAAAGAAAACTTATCAATTACGAATTGATAATTTTTTTTACTTCCAAATTCATCTTATCTTCATTATCTTCTTTCTGAAGACGCAAACAGTGACTGTATAATGAAAAAGGAAAAAAAATAAAAAAGAATCAAATAACAGCAGTTAGGTGAAGTTGGATGAAGCAGTAATGATGATGTAGTAATGAAGGAAAAAAAAGTTCAAAGAATCACTTTTATGGAAGAAAGACTCTCAATAGATTCCAGCACTATAAGAATACGCATTTTGGGGCTTTACAGTGTTAATTCATTGCATCTCATGCTATCTTCGAACTGGACTTTACAAAAATGAACTTCGAGATTTCTTCTAATCTGGACATGAAAAATGAGAAAGTGAAATTTGAAAAAGAGAATATATAGGAAAAAAATTAGGAAATAGAGAGGACGGATTGGAAACAGATCGTAAAATGTTCGGTTTTGCAAGAAAGTTTTATTGTTTATCATTCTTACCAGAGGATGCAAACCGAAATAAGAATGAAACAAACAAGAAATTATGAGATGGAATGATTTGATTTCAATTGAAAAAAAATGTTTCAATTTCAAAGTCAGTCTTAATTTTGTTCTCAAGGTGATATGTAATAATAATGAACCCAAAACCTGTAATACAGGATCCCCTACCTGTCAATTTTAAGCCACTGAAAAATAATCAATTTTGAAAATTGTAATAATACATATCAAACTTTTTTTTTTGGTTTGTCACTTTTTAATACCTTTCACAGCAACCCAGATTCTGTAAATCCTGTAATAAAAAACCCTACTCATAATATCTCAACTGATAAAATTTCTATGATATTATGATGAACAATTTATCTGTTGACAACTTTTTCATATCTTTAACACGGCCCGAAATAAATCAGCTTGAAGTTTGAAACTGGCTCTATCCTTCTGTGTTAGAGAGGTAAATACTTCATAAAATCTGTTTTCATTTTGGCATCTTTACGTTTTTGAAAATTTTCAAAGTCTAATAGTCTAAAAGAGATATAAAATACCCCCGCCTGAAATTTTATGAATCCACCACTATGAATATTCGTTATGAAGAGTTTACTTTGGTTTCTGAAGCTTCCAGTCACATTTTTGGTTTTCAAATTTTCTATTTATCATTCTGCGAACCCCAACGTCATTCGTCACTAATTGTTTCAAAACTTCCATCAATCGAAAGTAAGAAGATAGCCAACAACGAACAAACGGCCGCATGCCAATCTTTTCTTTTCCATCTGTTTATATCATGTACTTTCTAGCATTTCACCGCCTTACTTCGAGAAAAAGAACCTGTATTGGAATTTTTCTTCTTTATCTCAAGAAGTGTCTCCATCGTAACCTAACTCATTCTCTCACCAATAGATTTATCATTTTTCAATGACTGATGTTCTTTCTTTTCTATTAGATCACGCATTTTAAGTGTATTCTTTTTTCAGATATCATGAACAATCTTCCTTTGAACTTGGAAGCAATGAACAATGCTCCAATTGGAGATCAAGTACAAATGAACAACTTCTTGATGCAAGCGGCACAGGTAGTTGCTTTCTGGGGAAAACGTAATCATTATTAATAGATATATACAGAACACTCTGACCGGTGTTTATCAACTTGGAATCCAGAATGGTGTGATGGCAGGGATAATGCCATTAAATGGGAACCCAAATGGGGGAACCTTGAATGCAGTTGTGAATGCAAACAAACAGCAACTCATTGCAGGATACGGTAAGAGCACAAAATGTACAATTTTTTAAATGCTTTATACTGTTATATAGTTATATATTTAGGTGAAACTGCTACTAGAAAATCAGAGCCAACAACATGAAAAGTTTCGTCAAGAAATGATGGAACATCAAACTCGCATGACAAACTTGGCAATGGAAATCTGCACTTTTCTTGTTCACGAGCAGGAAGAAAATCGCGCGGTTATCAAAGAGATAACTGATTCCATGATTAGTCGGTTTCCTGGTCCATGTGTTCCTGTTCTATGCGATTGTGATGACGAATCTGAAGACAAAGAAGAACCAACTCCGATGAGTACGCGTCGCAGATCACCAAGGCAAAGAGAGCAGGCCACTCCGTATGCTAGTGGGAGAAAATCAACTCGCAATGTGTTAGTACTCTAACCGCGTCATAGTATTTATCTATTTTTTCAGGAGACCATCGACTGGGAACAGCGGAAACAAAATAAACAAGTAATCTTCTCAATTTATCAGAAATCCGTCCGACTCCGAATAATTGACCATTTGTAACTGCCGTACTTCATAAACTTTTTGATTTAACGTTCGTTTGAAATCGTTATCTTTATTCTCAAGAAACCAAAACAAATCACGTGTTTGAAAATTGTTCAAACAAACAAACCACTTCTTTGAACATATTTATTCGTTTCTTAGACATCACATTTTTTCACTAGTTTCAGGTCTTTCAATTGAAAATGTTTGGACTCTCGATGTTGGTGGCTTAAAAAACTCAACTTGCTGAAGTTAGGCCACGATGATGAAACTGCCCACTTTTCTAGAAGTGACCTAGAATTTTCAACTGGAATTTAAGAAATTCGTGTTCGGGTTAAACTCAATAGTTTGCTCATCAGCGTGAAGCGAAGATATTCCAGAGCCGTTGAAATCCCTTCGGACCGTTTTTCGTTAATTTATAATTTTCAGGTGAATATTTTTTTTCTTTTTTTCAGTTTTTCCAGTGTAAACGAAATCGATTATCTCCCTGATGACAAAACGGTAGCGTTGACCAAAATTCCAAACAATGGAATAACCTTCGTGGTCCAGATACTGTATTAAATTTTTTTGGTTCTCATCCCTTTATCATTTCAAGCTATTTCAAACTAGAAATGTATGTAATATTAATTTTATCCGTTTAATCAGTAAAACGGGAAATTTTCATTTTGCCACTTCTTTTGTTCACATTCGGGCCCTCAATTTTTCACTTCATAGAAATTTGACACATCAGCATTCAAATATGGATATCCGAAAAAATTTTTCTGAGATCAGTGTTTATTTTGTTGTTTTTTTTCCGCCTGTGGACCGTAAGCTTTGTTTTTCAGGAATCGATGATTATCAATCTCTCGCGTGACTCATCCTCCCGTTTCAGACATCCCTGACCACCCACTTGCGAAATGGTTCCCATCAAAAAATGGGAAAGGAGGAAAAATATCAAAAAGCGAGAAACGCATAAACATTTCTATTCGATTATCATCATTCCGTTTTTTTCAAGCCCTCCATTCAAGCATCGGTCGACAGTTCTATTGTTTTTCTATCCAAGTCAATGGCTATACTAGTACCCCCTCTCACTGATCCATTCAATCGAATTATCATAAATGTCGGAGGACTGGGGGTGAGTTGGTTATTTTTTATCTTCTCATAAGATGGCAACTAATTAGGAGGGCAGGAAAAAGTTGAAGTCAATGAGGGACAAAGCAATTTAGAGATAATAAATCTTCAATGCGGGGTACAAAACTCCAGAAAAAGTTGCATTTCTAACCTCCAAATTGTGTACTTTGCGCCCTTAAATTGTTTTGCATCTAGTATATTTCCGATTACCGTATTTCCTCTAATAGAAGCCCACCTATATTTGAAGCCCAACAAAGAAGAGGACAAAAGATTATTGAAATATTTTATATACATCTTATATACATCCCTTACTTTCGAAAGATATCGAAAGTTTACAAAAATCGGTCTTGGCACTGTGCCAGCAAGCCCATGCAAAAAAGTCTCCATACTTATGAGCTACCCAGTAAATTGTTGAAATATAATAGCCCACCCTGAGAAACAGGTCCAAAAATAGAAGCCCATAAGCTTCTATTAGAAGAAAGAAGGTCTATCTTACCTTCTGAATCACGTGCCTATTAGATGTGAGAATCAAGAAAAAGAAGAAAAACATTTGAAATCTCCTTTTTGCCAGAACTTCGCTGAGAGATACTTGTTTCATCCTGATCTATCGATCGCGAAACTTTTGATCCGAACTGCTAACGATTTGGGAAGGCCACGTGAACACCTATGGTAATAGGCATTTTTTTTTCAAATGAAGATAAATTTCAAAGTTTCAGCTTCACGTTTAATGGGATTGTGATAGAAGGAACGGAGACTCCAAATGATCTGGGAATCAAATACGACGATGAGATCAAAGTTATCTTAATCTACAAGAGACCTGTTGCCACCAAATGAGATATTAACTTTGTTTGTCTAGCTTTGTTAGCATTTTATTTTAATGGTCAAATGTTAGGTTGTTCCAAAAGTTTTCTACATTTTTTGAGATTTCTTCAACAAAACTTTATTCAACTTGAGGAATATTTCAGTAAGTAATATGTTGTTCATTATGGTCCATCACATGCTACTAACGTTTTGGTAGATGTTCGAGGCCTCTCGCTTAGAACACGGGTTGCTGTTGCGCGAAGAAAGCACCTATGTACGATTTGGGGTCCAAACTTCAATAGAAGCGCTTTCCTAGTAAATCATTCTAAAGTGAGCGGAATAAATAAAATACTAGTAGGGCGAGTAATTTTCAGTTGATTTTGGGCATTTTTAGAAGGGATGAATAGCTCTGCTTTCAAGTATCCGATCATTTTGAAAATTTTGGAGGGTGTAAAACAGTACTAAATTAAAAAACTTTGAATTCGTAAAATTTTTTGAAAATTTTTAATTTTCCATCTATTTGCAGATTTCTGGAAGAGATTTACTTTTTACACGTTTTCTGTCCAACAAGAGTCAAAAAAGGTGTCTTACAGAAATCGGCAAGTAGTTAGAATTCTAGAAATTTTAAAGAAATTCTGTGAACTTTCAATCTAGGCCTGTTTTTCATTTTCCAAACATATCAAAGTGTTCAGAAACTTGGCAGTCCAGCTTCCAACTCCTGAAAATGGTCAAAAGGGCAAAAAAAAAAACAAAAAAATACGTATTTGAATGTCATATTGATCGCTACTATGTACGTTTAAACTCATGCTCAACGATATATCTCCATGCTATTCAACTGCCCAAGAGTTTTTAGACCACCCATACACTTCCGCTCTCATTTTAAAGAACACAGAGAAACGAAAGATATCAATTATTCGATGTTTCCGCTATTGGCAAGTATATCTGTTTGATGAGGTATTATACAAAGATATTATTGAATATCATTGGCGTATTTTGTGAAATTGCTTAAGTTGAAAAGCCATTTGAAAAATATTTGTAATTAGAAAAAAGATTCAGAGCCGTAAAAAATATTCGAATTTCAATTGAAATTTAAAAGCCGTTAAAAAACTGGACACATTAGACAAACAT